CCAAAATATTCTCTAGATGTGGCACCATCAGATTATCATCTTTTTCATTTGCTGCAACACCATCTTATTAGGAAAACATATGCAACTGTGGAGGGTGTTAAAGTGGACATCAACATGTTTTTTTGCTTCAAAGCCAAGTGATTTCTTTAATCAGGGCATTAGCAACCTGATTGTAAGATGGAAAAGTATCATTGATAAGAATGGAGACTATTTAATTTAATAAATGTTTCATTTTGATATATAAGTTGTTCGGGTTTTTTCATCTAAAAGTGACATTAATTTTTTGACGACCTAATATTAACAACTTCATGCAAAATGTACCCATTTCAAACATGCTTAAACTTTGACTGTTTATTGAATATGTAAAAAAATTTAAAGTTATACCTTTTTTGTTGTGTAGTGATATAAAATATGTATAGGCTAATTTGGTTAAGTTTTTAAGTTTGGTTCTTAAGTGTGATATGTTTGCTGAGATTGACATATGCAGTTAGACCAATAAATATGGTCCATCATTTCTAGCCCCCCAGTGATTTTTTTCCTATTTTATCTGTTTGTGGTTTTAGCGGATGGAACATGCCTCAAGGGCCACACTGTTATCTTGACCACAGGAACATTTCTACGAGGAATGATCAACATAGGTTTAGATTCCTACCCTGCTGGTCGTCTCGGTGATCAGCCTACAGTAGGGTTAGCAAAAACCCTGGAGAAGGTTGGATTCAAAATGGGAAGATTAAAAACTGGTGAGCTGTTGTTATCTTAATATAATGGCACGTTTGAATTTCTTTTATCTACTTGTCTATCTATTTATGAACAATTAGCCTGATATAGTTACAAAAGCAACAGGAATGAATGAGGTATCATTTATAAGGTAAGCATTATCAAGAATCTAATTTCAAAAATATTATTCTGTTTAGCTTCACTATCAGTTTAAAAGCACTCAGTTGTAAGCCTGTATCTTCTGTTTCAAATCACTCTCTTATAGCACTATATCTTGTATTAGAGTAACAGTTTCAGACTGTCATTTTATAGGCCTAGCACTCTAGTTTTTAGTACAGACAAGTATAATTTTTTGGTTTCTCTAATGTTGTAAGTTTATCTAGTTCTTGTTTATTTAGTTCTTATATTTTAGTCCTTATTACTCAGTCTGCAAAAGTACTTTGTTTCCTTTAAAAATTACCAGAGAGTTGATGTTTCTTGGTCATGTCCATTCAACTTTGCATTTGAGAGAACTTTTTGATTAAACATATAATATTTTAACAACCCCCCTAGGTGGCTAAGCAGCAAGTCTGAGAGCTTACAACACTAAATACTGGGTTTTGATATCTATGGTGGGTACAGCACAGATAGCCCATTGTGTAGCTGTTTGCTTAATAACAAATACACAAATTAAGAACAGGATGTGCTAATTCAGAATAATAAATTACATAATAAACCCAGACTGCTATATTACATTTTTCTAAGGCTTGGACCTGTCCTTTAAACCTTGAGGAGTTAAAAATGAGTGTGGTTTATTATGTGAACTTTTTCACATATTTTATTGTGCTATATCTATCTTATTTAGTTGTATAAAAAAGATCATATAATGTTTAAGTTAAATAAAGCCAGAGCTTTTCCTAAGGAATTTTTCAACTGCACAATTACATTTTAACTTCATCATTTTTTAATACATGATGCCTTGTTGCACTCATATATACAGGGCTAGTAACAAATGATCCAAAAATGAAGAATATTCTAGTAAACACATTTATTTATCAACTCTGAAATGGAATTTTATAATCTTAAATATGTTTTTTTTTTAACATTTATCCACATGAACTTACTTGTGTAGGTGAATTTTCAACTGCACATTTTTTACAGGTGCACAATTTGTGATCAACTGCACACTAGGAAAACCTCTGAATAAAGCATTAGAATTAGTGGTAAAGATTTTGTACTTTTTAGATCTTTTTCACTAGTGACGTAGATATAAAAATATATTTGGGGTGGAAAGTTAAATATGATAGGGGTATTAATAAAGAGATAAGACAAATCAGTAACTTCAGCTTCAAATTACATTTCTTGATCATTTATTAATAATGATTAATATTGCTATGTTTGATGATAGAAATGTTTTATATGTTGTATAATAGCCAAAATTAAAAACATTTGTGTATTCTTTAGTATGTGGTGCATACCCATATTTGGAATCTTTACTGACAAAAGAAACAATCTTATATTCAAACAGACTGTTCCTATTGAATGTATAATAATAATATACCTTTGTTTGTATTGAAAAAATTGTATGATTTTTTTTATATATGGCCATATTAAAAGGAACATTGTTGAAATCTATGATTCAAATTCATTTCACAAGCTTGGTAAGAACAAAGACATAAAAAATATATACTGTATATGAAGAAGAATATAAACTGAATTCTATGTATTTGATAATAAATGTAATCCTCACATCAGTAATCTAGGTACCTTGTGTTAAAAATATATTTCTTTACATGTAACTTCAAATAATAAACATTTATACCATTACTTTGTGTAAAAAGTATATTTCTGAGACAGTACCTCATCTCCTCACACAGTTTAGCTATCTTTCTCAGTGTGTCTGCCAAAGAGATTTGCATACCACTAGCCTTGAAGCAACTCCCACCTAATTTCATGTAATTTTATGTGAATTGGACTGCCGCTTAATGATGTCATCATGTGATAAAAGCATAAAAAAGATATACGTGTGTGTATATATATATATATATATATCTTAAAGCAGGATTTTTCTGCTTTAAAATATAAAAATTTGTCATCATTGTAAATGGTTCCAGTTTTACTGATCATTCAGTTCTTCCTTATTTTAATTATTTACAAGTTACATTAGAGGACCTCAAATAAGTGGATCATAAATAGATACTGATTTTAGTGTTTCCAGTGGAACAGGTCTTTCTTTCATCTTTTAATTAAAGCTTTTGGTTACAAGTGTTCAAATCTTTTCTAGGTACTCCTCCTCGGGTGGATATAAAGACAGTAGACTTATCTCAGTTTTCAGTTACAGAAGGAGACAATCCTCCACAACCATTTTCTTTTATTCATGACAATGTCTGGATCAAGGTAAAGATTTTTTTATTAGTATGGTTTTAAATTTTTGAACCGAAAAATTAAAATGCTTTAAAGAATTTTTTTCCACAATTTCAGTTTCTACATCATATTTATACTAGCTAACCACCAAACATTTTTTAAAGATTTTTCTTTGAATGCTATATAGTCAGAGTTTGATGCTATAGATTTTACAAAAGATTACTACAATGCCACTATGTAAGTCATGTTTTAGAAAAATTATTGATAATTTTCAAGTTTTCGATGGGCCTTAAAATATTGGATATTGCTTGTTTTTCAGGGTATATAATTAGTTTAGTAAAAACTATATATTATTTGTTATTTCTAAGGAAAATTTTCATCCTAATAGTTTGATTTCTAAGTTACTACACAATGATTATGCTCATTCATACATAGATTATCATTGTATAGGTCAGATTGCTATGCAGTTCTAAGAGTTTCTGAACTTGTCGACATAAGTAATTTTATCAAAGCAAATATATCATGGTGAATCACTTATAAAATTTATGAGACAAGCAATGGTAATTCTGATATGATACCTTACCTTTTCTCACATAATAGTTTTCTTGATTATTATTTCCCTTTATATGTGCAATTTTTCACTTGCAACTAGCCTTGGTACTCCCACTACCTCCATATGCTTTAATCTGGTACTGATACGCTGTTAAAATGTGTTCAAATGTTTGCTCAAGTTTTACTTCACTTTGAGTTAAACTTTTCCATAACTTTTATCCAACAGATTAATGAGGTGTTTTTCATTTATTTCATATCACTACAGCACTTTACCCTGATGTTTCTCAGGCTTCGGGCCATGTGCTTTTGACTGAGGAGGTCTTGGATAGTTAGAGTTAGAATCCTTCATATGGCTGGCTGTCTCCTGGGCCCAAACCTGATATTCCTTTGTGTGGTAAATTTGGGCAAGTTAAGGATGATTGAGATAGTCATTTTTCTGCCTTCTTCCTGGGTCATGCAATCTCAATTTAGAACTGTGGATTCTCCCAGGCCTCCCTTAGCCTTCCTGGATGTGGTGCCACAGGTATGTTACCTTTTTATTTGTCTCCCCTATTTTATATTATTCTTCCACTTCCCTCCTACATTTGGCCCATTTCTCGGAATACCTAATAGTTCTTCTCCTGATATTGGAATAAATGTTGACCAATTTCTGGCACAATTGTGGTTGGGTTCTGTGAGTTTTTCCCATGTCCACTTCTCTCACCTCTGTTTGAACCCTACTATACTCTTACTTTATCTATCCTACATCCATCTCCTTTCCATGGTTACCCACTACTCACATGCAGTATTTTGCAAGGATACTCTTTCACTTATGTTTTCCACATTGATGAGTTTATCCTCCTTACCATTTTCCGTTTATACATCATTCCTCAGTTTTTGGGATCTCCTGGGTAGGGATGCATTGTTAACTAACAGATGCCTACAAATGTCCTACTCACAAGACTTACTGATGGTCAATTTTTGGAGAATTTCACAATCCTTAACATCAAGGGTTGAGGCTTTTCACTGACACCCCTCCATTTCTGCCTGAGTTTCTCACCAATCTCTGAATCACACACTGCCAATGGTACCAATGTCTATCCAGTAGGTTCAGGTACAATTGGAGTACATTTGGCCAGGTTTTTGCACTTAAGTTCCAATTTCACGTTGGATCCTTTGGGTGTTGGCATAAGGTTTATCCCTGCAATTATTTCACCTTCCTTCTTTATCCCCTTTCCTCCTCCTTGGGAGCCATCTTTCTAGCCATTATCTTTTGGAAATGGTTCAGATTCTACTTCTCAAGGATGCTATAGAACCTTTCAATCATACTTATCTAAGATTTTATTCCAGGTTGTTGGTATTTCACTGTTTTCATCTACCTTCCTCATTTTCCCATAGAGTTCTTCTGCACTCCTTGGTGAGCATTTACTCTTAGTTTTTGGAAGACAAATGTAGACATTATAGATGCTTTCTTCCACATCTTTATTTCCCGAGCATTTAGTATGGGGTTTTACATCCTACATTTATGTCGTGTGGTCATAGCCTTTTCTCATCCAAGTCATAATCAAGGTTTATGCTTTTATCCTTACATTAAGGACAGGTTTTTGTTAGCTACAGCCTTATATGCTGCTCACAAATACACTCTGTTGCTTCTTTGTGGGATGGCTCATCCAGTGGGAGTAGCCTTTTTCTTATCAAGACTCAATAATTTGTCCACTTGGGAATATTTTTCACCTCCTTCCCAACATGGGCCCAGCTTTCTCCACTTCTTTTATGGTCAACGGAGCTTGTGGTTCAGTCATCTTCCTTCCTACGTCACTTCCAGTCAATTTCACTTTCTGGTTCAACAGAGACAACACCACGACTAGCAATACGCTTCTGTTATCATGGCCCAAGTTGCATCTTTTTATGGATACTTCTGTTATGGGTTGGGGAGCAATTATGGATTTCATTAAATTGTGGGTCATTGTTCTTCAGTCAAGATGGCTATAAACATCAATATCTTGAAGCTGCTTTCTGTTTGTCAGGCTTTGGATCATTTCCTGAGTTTAATTCGAGGTAAGGTGGTCATGATTCATTCCAACAGTTGTCTCTTGTATCAAATGACAAGGAGACACCAGTCCACATTTTACTTTGTTTTCAGATGTAGGAACTCCTGTTCTGGGCCCATTCCCTTTTTGGTCCCCAATGTCACATCCATTGGCTTTGGTGGTGGATGCCTTCAGTTTAGATAAGTCCTACTTTACCTATATGCCTATTCTCTTATACACATTCTCACCTGACTTTTATCCTTTATCCAGTCCACTTAATGTTGTATCCTATTTATTGCACTTTCTGGCTAGCTCAACCATTGTTTCCAGTCCTTACCTCAGTCATTTTCTCTTTCCCAATACCTCCTCCATCACCCTCAGTCACTGGTATATCATCCCACAGTTGCCACACTCTGGCTTTTGTCCAGGTTTCTGTTGCCTATGTACAGACTGTCTGCATGTGTAGCTTCTATTCTCTCCCATTCAGTATGTCCTTCCTTCCTAATGGTGTATCAGGGAAATTGGCATTCTTTTCATCATGGTCTATGCATCTTGGTTACCTTCCTTCCCATCATAGTATTCCTCTTGTCTTTTTTTATCTATCTGTTCAATACTAGTGTTTCTGTGTCTTCCATTTCTGGATTTCTTGCAGCCTTGTCCACTACATTCTGCTTTTCATGTTCTTACAGTGTGTTTTCCTCTCTGACCATTTCCCTCCAGATCCTTCATCATCCTCATCCTGTGCTCCTTCCTGAATGGATCTTTCATGTTATTCTCTACACCCTATGTCCTGCATGGCTTCAGTGTCATATTGTTCACATGGCTTCCTTCCATGGCTTCCATTCCCAATTATTTATCCGTTGGAACCCTTCCTCTCGCAGTTTTTAACCTACCATCCTTACAGGTTGGATTCGCCAACTTATCAGATTGGCTTATTTTTCCTTGTTTCCTGATTCGCAACATCCTTTCCAGGTGTCATCTCATCAGATCTGACACCTTACCTTTCCCTGGCTGCTCATTTCCTGCTCGGATTCTGGCTGGCATGTGGACCACACTGACCACATTCATCTCCCATTACCTGCAACATGTGACTGTGTCCTCCTCATCTGGATATCTCCTGTTGCCATACATCACACATCTGTTCAACTGTGAGTGGATAAATGTTTTATATTTCTATATTTACCTTCCAGGGTCACAACATTTTCTATATTGTATCCCACTCTGTGGTGAGTTGTGCCTGTCCAGGTATACTAATTCTTAAATCTGCACTGCTGTATGGTCTTTAAGGTCTATAACACTCAATGTTGAGGTGGAGTGTTCTGCAAGACTACTTGCTTGTTCATCATCATCATGGTATATTGCATCATAAATATGCCCATCCCAGACTATACACTCATGGACTAGCATGAATAAAGCAGGGTAAGGATTGCTGCCCATCCCTCTTTTTGTACTTTTGAAATAGGGCTTTTCAGTCACACATTGCTTTTTTTTTGGTGCTGTGTTCCTCCAGACTCTCCAACTCAATCTCTCCCCATCTTCCAGTGGAGTACAAGTGTCCCTGCCACATACCAGTTCCTAGCAGCAGGGGTGGTGGACAAGGAAGACTTCCTCCTGGGTGTGATTGTTCCACTCAATTGATAGTAAGGTGGTGGTATTCTACTGGTGTAGATGGTGTGATTATCCTCCTACCACAGACCTGATGTAGAATTCCAGATGCCAATTGGTTTTGGACTGGATTTTCCTGTGACTATGCAGCTCACCCCTTTGGCTGGGAACCCTCCTTTCTACTGCTGCCTGGATATTGGTTCCCAGATGTGCTGGTTGGGCTCGGACCCCTCCTCCTACTGCAGACTGGATGATACATTCCCAATGCTGCATGGTTTTGGACTGGAGTTGACCTTCCACATTGTATTTCACCTTCCTAACATCACCTGGATGTCAGATTCCCAGGTGGCTTTGGTTGTTTACTAGCTCTACACACATGTGAGAGCTCGGATTCTTGGAATGAAAGTCTTTTTTTTTTCCTTCTGATTCATGGGCCTAAGGTGAAGATGGCAGGGACCCTTCTCCTTCTGTGGACTGAATGTTCCATTCCTGATACTGCTGATATTAGACTGAAGTTGAACCACTCTTTATGGACCAACATGCACCAAGCTACTCTACACGAATGTCATGTTTATGTGATTATTGGATGTACCCCTTTTCTGCTCATATGAGGACATGTTCATTCACCAAGGGTGATGAATATACCTGGTTCAGATGTGGTGTGGTTTCCCACATGTATGTTCTGAAACAGTACTATCTCAACTCACCCAAAACTATCTCGACCTAAATTTGCCCTTTAACTCTCCCAACATAGGGTCGGTCAATTTGACCGAGTCACTTGACTTTTCATACTCATTTAAAGTTGATATAAATTTAATACTTATAACTCTATATATATTGGGTATATCTTCACGAAATTTGGCAGTCTTTCAGTTAATGTTACAAGTCTTTTACATACAAAAAGTCATATTTCTTAGTGAAGTATTTCTAATAAAATAAAGTTTTGTCCATGAATATATTGAGTATTTGTTTTGAATAGTCCGTGTGCAAAGTAATTTTCATGTTAAAATTAAAAATACTTTTCGTCATCTCAAAAATCTCAAATTCCCTTTATGTAATCCTTAAAACCTCCTAAATGCATTTCAAACGTTTTTTTTCACTAACTCCTTATAGTTTATATGTTATTTTCTCTACCCTATCTCAAAACGGGATTGGTCAATTTGACCAACCTTGTAACCACCAAAAAAATAATCGAAATAAACCTAAAGTAACCTTCTTTTCTTTCCAGAATGACTTTAAATTGAAACCTGAAACTGCATTCGTTTATCCTAATTAGCTCTAATCATCTACTTTGTTCAGTTCATTTCCTGCTATGTTTTATGGCTTGTACTGACTCCTTTCGTTGTTCTCATTCCGATATATTTCTTACATGGATTTCCTCTATTTCTCATGATCTTTCACCTATTACTGTCACTGGTTGGTTTGTCAGTTCATACAACTGGCATTTTGTGACGTGTCCATGGCAGGTTGCTATCTACATAATGTTTCTTCACACCAAGTTCATCATCTAAATATGCCTTTAGCTGCTTGACACCACCATCTTTTGGAGGAGATTGTTCAGGCTGGTATCTGAACAACTCCCCATATATTTGTCGCTCTTTATCTGCAAAACATAACCGTGTCTTCCTCAGATAGGTATCGTCTTCCTCCTATGGTAATTCTACCCACATCTGTTAGCCTGTGACTGAGGTAAGTCATTCTTTTTTTTTTCTCTTTTATCGTTGCTTATACATCATATTTCAGGATCCCACCTGGTGGTGGGTGTTGGCTGGTCAGGTATGCTGAATATTATATCTTAGCAATAAATCTGTATACCTCTATAATGCTCAAAGTGGAGATGGGATGTTTGTGTAATAATGAAGTCCATGCTAATTATTTAGACATTACTTTTATAGAAGGTACATTGTGGTTGACTATTTTTGATAAAAGAAGATAATTTAATTTTCCCGTTCTTGGTCTACCCACATCTAAAAGTGTTATTCCGTGTATCATGTTAAAAGGTATTATATTTCTCAACTAAAATGTTTCTTAATAGTCTATAATAACTATAATTTTTTTATGGATAATGTTCTATTATTAAAAAATATTTTAGAAACTGAACTATCGATTAAAGAAAATATCTTATAAAAATAAATAAAATAAAGAGGGGGATAGTTACTTTAACTTATAAGTACCTAATAGCAATTTTTCAAGTAATTTTATTCAGTATAATCAGGATGTAAAGACTAACTTCAAGTAGCTGGGCTTGTCTCAGCATTCCCGTGTTATACTTGAATAAATTTTCCAGTGAAAGGAAGGAGGTTGGGAGTAAGAACTATATAAGAACTGTTACGGCAAGGTGTATAGTTCTATTTAATATCTTTTTGTAATAGTGGAGATTGGGAGTTTAGTTAGTAGAAATATTAGGGTGGCTTCATTTCAGTTCATTTCTACTTTAAGAAATTTAGGGGTAACTGCCTTCCCACAAACAGCTATAGACAGTGAAAGGTAGTAGAAGCTGAGATGTTGTGGGTGTAAGCACTCAGCTTCATATCCTTATTTGATTGATTTTTTTATGCTTTTCCCTGATGGCTGAGTAGATTGACATCGGCATTTGGAATTTGTCTGATAGATGGGATATGACAATAAGTTGACAACCTGGACCAATAACGATTTTTAATTAATTATTGTTTTATAGTGCTGATTTAATCACCTATTAACAATTAATGTAATCAATAGTGAGCTATTTGTTTATTTATCTTTTTATATATATATATATTGTTATCACTTTACCATATATAAAGGACCATCACTCATGGGCTTCATGAGTAAAGCAGATTGGGACTTTTGCCCATCCCTACTGACTCATGACTCTTACAATTTGGGTCTATCTGCTTTTCAAAATAGTGAAATGCAGACACCCATTGTGCTCTCTCCAGTGTGTCATTCCTCTGGACTCCCCAACACGTATTTCCCCTCTTTTTTCTAGTGGAGAACTGGGAGTCCTTCCCACTTCCAGTTCCCAGTTGCTGGAGTGGTAGAGCATGAAGGTTTCCTCAGGAGTGGGGTTTGTACAATAAATGATCTCAGTGAGAAGAGGGCTATCGTTGTTATACTTCTTGATTATGCAATAATATAATATTCTGGATCCAACAAGGTACTTTTTATGGATTTACCACACTTGTTGATCACAAAATAAATTTCTTATGCAAGATGCTTCTACTGGATGTTTTCTGCCTGGATGGACCACACTTGACATACTCCGTAATATCACCAGGCACTTTCCCCGGATGTTTTTGCCCAGGGTGACTGCACTTGTTGATCACAAAATCAATTATGAACAAAATACGAAAAAGAAATCTTATGCAAGGAGCTGCCATTGGATGTTTTCTGCACTTGACAGGATCCGACGTATACCAAGGTGCTTCTACTAGATGTTTTGTGCCCAGGCGGACTGCACTTGTTGATCTTACAAACTTGTGCAAGGTGCTTCCACTGATGTTTTTGAACAGATGGACTGCGTTGACATAATCCGATGTATCTCAAGGCTCTTCCCCTTTATGTTTTTTGCCCGGGCAGACCACACTTGGCCTATTCATGTACATTTTATGGTCCTTCAGCCCTAGCCAGGCATACTTATATCTGATTATCAGGCACCTTCCTAAGTTCTAATTATCATTGTGTCACGTGCTCATGCTTGTTCCATATGTGGATGACTTAGTACTGTCTGTTGTTCATGTGTGGAATGTGTATTACATAACTTGGTGCCTGACTGTTACATACCACCCTATATGACTGTGTTCATTACTGGGCACAGAGCATACCTGTTCCAAAATTAGTGCTATACCTACAGGTGTGTCTCCTCCTCCTTTTCTAATTATGGCACACCTGTTCTTTCTTGGCTGTTGTGCACCACTTGTTTGACTACTATTGAGCCTTCACCAGCCCCTCCACATTTGCAGTGTTGGATTCTAGCTTTTGGTGAGAAGAGGTAGAACCATTTTGGAAGTTAACATTTCCTACCACTGAAAATGTATTTCTGATAGGTACTTACCTCTAACCCACTTTCTGCCCTTCCTCTCCACTGATATTCCATTGTTTCTAGTTTGTATCTGCCAATTCTCAAAAGTGAGAATTGTGCTGGAATGGTAGAGGAAGCTAACTGCACTAGTATAGGTGGTGCAGTATGATTGGTGAAGGGTAGTCACATGTTGCTGCAATGGTGCAAAAATGAAGGGGTATAAAAGACTGGTGCACTCTTGGAAAATTTAGCAATGCTTAGAGGGCAAATCAAGGTTGAGATAGCTTTGGGTGGATATAGGTAAGTACCTATTGGAAATAGATTTACAGTAGTATGAAATGTTAACTTTCCTCTTCATTGAGGTGTCATACTAAATGGGTTCTCTTCAGATGCTTTCTGAAGGGTGTTTATATAGGTAATTTTGAATTGGTCCCTCCACCAGCTCAATGTGGGATTCTAATTATTATGTGAGAGGAGGTAAAGTATCACATTGGAAGTCGTAATTTTCCTACACTTACCGCCCTCACACTTACCCTTCTACCCCTCTTCCAGTGCTTCTTCAGTGCCTCATCTTGAAGTGTAGATTGATTTCTACAGTATAGAGGTAATCAGCTGTGTTAGGAAGCTATGTCTCACTCTTATTGGGGGAGAGTTGTTGCATGCTTTACAGCTCAGCAGTACCACATCAAAATGTGGAGGTAGGCAGGAGTACCAAGGCTAGCAGCAAGCAAAAATTATAGGGGCAGGATTAGCTGAGAAGAACTATTATGTGAGAAGAGAGGTAAGTATCAATCAGAAATATATTTTCAATGTGGGAAAGTGTCTGTAAATGTTGTTCATTTTTAGTTGATATATTGCTGAATAGCTTAAAAAAGACTGCATGTGTTTATATAACAGTAAACTTACTGATTTTTACATTACTTGTATTTGCTTTCTTTGTGGTGACAATACTTAATGAAGATGCTTTAAATTGAACTCATTCAAATTTTTTTTTAGTTAGGATTTTGCTGTTGAAGCTAAATTTGATTTATAAGTAACATGTGTTCTACATATATCGTTTTGGAAATAAAATAAGTATATAGAAAAATCTTACCTTCAGCTGAAGAATCGTACACACAACTGAGGTCATCACATTAGCTAAAAAATGTTAATAGATAATGCCTAATATCAAATGAAGTATATTTTGTGAGTGGTCAGAAGATGCTAAGAATTTTTGACAAACATGAGATATGGAAACAGAAAAATAGCTAATTTAAATATAATCTGAATGTAATGGACAAATAAATATTTTTCTTTGAAATATACGTTTTTTGGAAGAACATAGGAAAAAATGCAATATGTGTCAAATGCAATATGAAATTGATAACGAATTTGATACTAACATTGAAAAATGTACTAAAATGTTACAATCTGTAATATCTGATGTTAAATAATGCATATTTACAAAAGCCATTTGTGAAAAAATATAGTTTAAAAGCCATTTTGAGAACTTTTACACAAATCTCTCTAACTTAATAAGAGATTACCTACAACATAATTATTACTATTGCTGAACTACATGTGTTGAAGATGGTTATTATTAATGGCTTACCTGGTTTTACTAGCCAGAAGAACAAGTTGGAACTTATCTTACCTTTACAACACCAGAGACAGAGAAGATAATCTTAGAAAATGTCCACCTTAGCCGTCATGTGCAAGAAGAAACTAGAGGACCTAGGTAAAAAAAAGTAAAGTAAAGATTTTTTCAGTATTATGTAAATATTAGGTTGTCAAGAAGTTAATGTTGCATTTTGGAACACTTACATTAACCACCCCTCCAAAAAGACGTACATCACGTATAATAGTTAAACGAACCACCTAAACATCACATTAGTGTATCCTATATAATGTGTAAAGTTTAGTATATTCTAATGCCTTATAGTGATGGCAGATAATGAGACACACATTTGCCATGTAATGCTATTTGAATACAAGAAGGGAACCAATGCCTCTGTAGCCACAAATAATATCAAAGACATTTATAGAAATGTTTTGAACATTTGTGTCAGTGATGGTTTGGCAAGTTTTGTTTAGGTGACTTTAGCCTTAAACTGTGATGGCAGGGGCCAACATGTTGGAATTGATATTGATGCTCTGAAAATGCTTGTTGAGTCTAACCCAAGGCAGCACACTTGTGAAATGGCCCTGAAATTGCATGTCTCTCATGAAACAATATGTAAACATCTAAGAAATATGGAAAAACTCCATAAAGAAAGTGTTTGGGTGCCTCACAAACTCTCCGATGATCATTGCTTTCAACGTGTGAACGTCACTTTGTTTTT